TTTTTGGTTTTTTTTTTTTCTTCCTTATTTATTTATTTTGTTGGTGAGGGGAAGTAATGGGGACTGAATCCAGAAACACTTTACCACTAAGCTACAACCCCAGCTTGCCCCCGTCCCCCCGCCACCTTTTTTAAATTTTTGAGACAGAATCTCAGTTACTAAAGCTGGCCTTGAACTTGCAGTCCTCCTGCCTCAGCCTCCAAAGTCACTGGGACCAGCCATTTTTCATCTTTTGAAAGAGGCCAATTTAGATCTCACTTATACCGCAAAGCTTCCTTGATAGTTCCCAGTCACACAAATACCTCCTTTCCTTAAACTCCAAAATAATTTAATGTTGTATTTATTAGTTTATGAAGTCATATTCTTATACAGTTCTTTAACTGTTCCATCCAAACCATTGCAGAATGGAGGCTTGCCTGTGCCCAACTTCATGGAACAGAACTGTGTTAGACTCAAGGCTCTTATTAGGGTCCATGCAAAAGGCAGGGATAACCCATAAGGAGCAGTTTCAGGGGACAGATTTTGATCAAAATGCCAAAAATCTTATGCTAATTAAAACTGTTTCAAAATGGAGCTTCCTGCCCGAGCCTGGGAGAGCATTGTTTCCTTAAAACTGGGAAGCAGTGGCCAAGATCATTCTAAGGAAAACTCTTGCCTTAATGAGAGGTCACCAAGACTCCCCCCAACTAACAGGCTGTCACTATCACAACTGTTTTTATGTGTAATAAAATGCCACCTGGCTGGCCTGCTGCCCCAGGAAGGCCCTGGCTCCTGCCTCAGGACCTCCTTGGGACAAACTCCATCCCCACCAGTCGCTAGTCTTTGACTTACCAGTTATAAAGTACTGCCTCTTACTGTTGACTGCTATTCTAGTGCCACAGAGAGAAGTGTTCACAGAGGTGTACACATAGCGAACCTCCTTGACTTTCTCAACCCCTTTAATCATCTGAAAGACAATTGCAAAAAAAAAAAAAAACTCGAAAACAAACCCCAAAACACAGTATTTGGTCAGTGAGTATAATTTGTATATTAACAGGCAAAAACTTCTCTTTTCTCAGTCTCAATAATAAAGTGAAAGTCTAGTTTCAGAATTGGTGCACTCAGAGTCCACAGACTCCTACTGGGTTGTCTTTGTCTTAAAAAAAATTTTTTTTAAATCTAAATTTATTCCAGTGGAAGGAAAGGTACCTCAATGGCAGCTATGGGACCCACTGAGGCCCCCACACTGCACTGCCCTTGGGTTTTGTGGTCCCCCCCAACATCCCAACCAGTTCCACTCCACCATGTCTACAAAAAGTTCACTGAACCAGATTGTCTGAAACCTACCCTCCCAAAACACAGACCCCATTTCCCTCTACCTGCCTAGTGAGGGTAAACGCCCTGACTTGACCCCATGTACCTTCATCCGTTTGAGTTCATACCGGAGCAATTTGTTAGGGTTAGAAGGGTCTTCGTTAGCAGTCACTATCTTCTCACTGGTGACTTTGGCCCGAATCACTGCACAGGGAGAAGAAAGAGGGAAGAAAGTATTAGCACTTGGAGCAGTCTATTTGGGATCTGGAGAATTTCAGGTGTTGGGAGTGGTGTGATAGAGTTCTGCAGTGACTGCAAGTTCAAACTCTTTGGGATTCTTAGGTCCTCAGCCTCTGTGCTTTTTGGGCCATGTTTAACCTGTTACTTTGGAGAGCTCTAGTTCCTGGAACTCTGGGAACCGTGGGCAAAGGGGAGGAGTCAGAGTGGTGGAGCTGGAAGGAGCCCCTTGAAGGATTCCTGTGAGGCTCATCTGTTGAAATAGCTCAGAGCCTCAAAGCTCTCCCAGAGTTGATATTAGTAAATGTTTATTGAATCCATAAATATTCTGGCCCTGTTGAGAAAACCCATCTCTTGCCATTTGGGCATTAATCAAAAAAACTGCTTATGAAAGTCTTCCTCTTGGTCTTGTACTGGGCACAAGTCCCACAGATGTGATTGCAACAGGGTCCCTATCCTGCAGAACTTTTGGTCTATCAGAGGATGTGCCTATAAAAACCAATAACACTGAATAGTAGAAGCACAAACTTGGTAGAGACACAGTGATAGCCAGGGAGCAAGGAAGCCTCCAAAGAGTGGTCCTGAGTTAGCCCTTGGAGGATGAATTGGAGTTGGCCAGGAATGCGAGGGTATGGGGAAAGGGCATCCAGATAGAGAGGAGAGAAAGGGCAAAAGATCAGAATTGGGATGGGGACCCGGTGGCAACCTCAATTATGGGCTTGGACAGAGACAGGCCCCACCCCCAACCCAGCTGGATCACTCTGGTGACACTCCAGTTAATGATACTCCCAGGTTGCAGTATGGTCAGGATGAGGGGCGTCGCTATAGAGGTGGGGACAATCTATTTTCTTACAAATCAGACTCTGTGCTTGCAAGGTTGCTCTGGCGCCAGCCCTTTCAACCCATCAGCCTCAGCAGGAGGCAACGGTGAAGGGGGGGAGGGGGTTGAGCTCCTCCCCTTTCCTCAGACTCCTGGTCTACCGCTCAGCCCAGAGCCAGTCCCCACCGCCACCGCCCCTGCTGTGGACCGCCTGGGCCGGACTCACCAACCGCCGAGCGGCAGAAATGCTGCTGCGGGTGCGTTGGGAGGCAGCTGCACGCCTCGCCCCGCCCCGGGGGCCACAGCAAAGCCAGCAGTCCCAGCACCAGCGCCCTGCTCGTCGCGACCGAGGGGCTCCAGAGCACGACACCGCAGAGCCCCATTGGAGCCTGTGGGGTCTGTCGGACCAAAACAGTCGTCCAAGGCGCCTTAGAACGCCCGGCCCTCCACCCCCCACCCTCCTCGGCTCTGTGAGATGACCATAGAACCAATCCCGCCCTAAGGGGCTCTGCCTGCCTTTGGCTTGAGGCCACCCGTGGCGGCGGGACCCGAGACCCTCCAACTGACCGTCTCAGTGAGAGTTAGTGGGGGTCCTGAGGAGCTAAGCCTCTGGAAGTAGAGGGCAGACGCTGGGAGAGGGATGCTGTCAGGGGCAAAAAGGGAAGAGAAACCAAGACCAACGCCCCAGGGCAGAAAGACCAGGGCTGTGATTCAGGCCGAAGGGACAGTGAGGAGAGGCTCAGAGAGGAGGAGACAGGCAGAGGCCAAGAGAGGCAGACGGAAATACAACAGGCAAAAGACACAGTGATGGAGAAGGACGGACCCTTGCTGAGCGGCATACTGGGAATGAGACAAGCTACTCGGGGCTCCTTTCAGCTGCAGGAAGTGTTTTCAATGCCCTATTTATGAGGCTCCAAAGCAACAGCAAACAGTAAGGGGAGGGACAGAGAAAGTTGGGGTGTGTGTGTGTGTGTCTTGGCTCTGTCAGCTGGGGGGTGGGGAGAGATATCAGAGACAGCAGCCTGTGCTTAGAAACCCTTTCTCCAAGCAAGAGCCTTAGACTCTGCAGATAGCAAGGGACTGTTCCCTCAGGTGTCCCATCACTTAGGACACACTTTGGACCTCAAAGCCTTGTTTCCAATTCCTGGGCGATTCTGATTGTTATTGCACATTATAGCCGCCGGAGACTACGTGGGGAGGCTTGGAGGCCAAAGAAGTAAGGGGCTCGGGCTTGTTGTGACCCCAGCCTTGTCCACTGTCCAAGGCTCACCACAGAAGGAGACCCATTGAATTATAGTTGTACTAGAAAGCAGAAGGTCAGGTTCTGATCCTGTCATTAGGTAGCTTTGTCACCTTTACTTTGCAGAACCTCAGTTTTTTCTCTAGACTTGAACTACATGATCTTCTTCTCCTTCTCCTCCTTCTTCTCCTGCTTCTCCTTCTCCTTCAGTGCTGGGGATCAAGGAGCCTTGCACAAGCTAGGCAAGCACTGTCCCACTGGGCTACACCCCCAGCCCTGAAGTACATGTTTTCTGAAGCCCTTTGAAGCCCTTTCCCCCAGCCTCCACTGGCTTCAGCCAGGAATGCTGAAATCCTCAGGTCACATTCTCCCAGTATCTCCTCACACCAAGATTCCGTGGGAATCTGACTTTCATCAGGGTTGCCATTATCTTCTTCAGAGGACGTCTTTTCACTTGGATGGTATTGGTGACATTTGAAAGGAGAGAGACTGAAAGGATAGGTCCAAGCTGGTGTCCAGGTTGGTTCTTCATCCCATGTCTAGACCAAGATAAGAGCTGAATGTATTATTTGGAGGGATCTCAGAAGCATCCAGTCCAAATCATTCATTTGACAGGTGTGAAGGCGGAGGCTCAGTGATATAAAGTGACTTATAGAAAGTTAGTGATAGAAAGCACTAGAAAACAAGTATCCTTATGTTTATTCTAGTGCTCTGTATACTCTACCACATTATTTCTTTTCATTTGGCTTTTTTTTTTTTTAACAGCTCAAAATTCTGTCTTTGGAGGGTAATTCTTTCTTTTGAGTTCTTATTGCTCCTCTGTAAAAATAAGGCTACTTCAAGAATGCATTCATTTTCATAAGGATCCCTTTCCAAGGGTAAACATATTGAATTCTTACATGAGCTCTCTTCCAAACTCAAAGCTGGGCAGAAATAGGCCTTAGCATAATAAGCCATGTGTGGGGTTTAGTTTGTGGTGTTGGTGAGCAGCAAAGACTCTGAATGAAGAAGAGTACATTTGGGTCAGTATTTTTGAAGGGGTAGGTACTAAGAGGTACATGATGATAATAAATATGCATTCAAAAAAAGCTTCGGGTTAATTAAGACACAATTTACATACATCTTTAGCTGAGAGCCAGTCCCGCCCAGTGTTTGTCTAACAGAGAAGGTTGAAGCAGTGAGATACAGAGAGTAAGAACAAGGTTCAGAACAGCTCTTCCTCTAACATGCTGTGCGATTTTGGGAAAGTCACTGTCATTCTATGAGTCCAGTTTCTTAATTTGTAAAGCAAATAGGTTGGTCTGGTTCTTTAAGGATCCTCCAAAGGGTGTTCCTAAGAAAAATATGCGTAGGATTCCACAGAGAGAGAGGCACACCTGACCAGTTTGTTCCTTTCTTCTCTGCCTTCAGCTGACACTGCCCACATTCCCCGTGGTGGTGAAGATTGGCCATGCTCACTCCGGTATGGGCAAGGTAAGGCAGGGGGGGCTGCAGTGGTGTGGAGTTGGGCTCAGAAGGGTGTTTTTGCTGGAGAGGTAGCTCAGTAGAGCTCTTGCCTAGCATGCATGAGGCCCTAGCTTCTATCCCCCATTCTTGCAGGGGGGCGGGGGGTAAAGAAGGGCACTTTTCAGATGGGTTTGAAGGCTTCAGGGCCTTTTGACTAAGGTCTTGCCTAATTCCAACATTAGGTCAAAGTGGAAAACCACTACGACTTCCAGGACATTGCTAGTGTGGTGGCCCTCACTCAGACCTACGCCACAGCAGAACCCTTCATTGACGCCAAGTATGACATCCGAGTCCAGAAGATTGGCAGCAATTACAAGGCTTACATGTAAGTGGGGAGGTGTAGCGTCCCAGCAGATGCTCTCTGTTCATCTCAGCCTCCAGCTCTCAGTCCAACCTCACCAGGCCCATAAGGCAGGTTACAGAGAGAGCATGCCACTTGCGTCTAGAACTCCTAACCTGGGATCTTTTGAAGTCAAGGGAGGGGGTCTGTAAACTAAGATGAAAAATAAAATTAGTATTAATTTCACTAGCTCTCTTCAGTTATAAACAAAGACGACAGACAATAGTAGTAGCACTATATAGGACTTTATCACCAAAGGTAATCATGATACTCATGTATCACACTACAGTTGTGACAGACCTCAGTACCAGTTACGTCATCCCTATGTAAAACTCATGATAGTTATTAGACCTGCCTCTGAATCACATTATTTAAAGAAACACATCTTTGATTAATCAAAATGTGTTTTTATTTTTTCTAATTTTTTAAAATTTTTTTTATTATTAGTTGTTCAAAACATTACAAAGCTTTTGACATATCATATTTCATACATTTGATTCAAGCAGATTATGAACTCTCATTTTTTACCCTGTATACATATTGCAGATTCACGTCGGTTACGCATCCACTTTTTTACATACTGCCATACTATTGTCTCTTGTATTCTGCTGCCCTTCCTATCCTCTACTATCCCCCCCAAGATGTGTTTTTAAAATATTTTTGATAACTCTAATTGGGTATCTTTGTGATCTTATATACTTTATGCACTTGCACGTTTTATACGTTTTAAAATTGAAAGGAATCCTGTGCTTCAACAGACTACCAAAGAATGGTAAAGTTAAACTCCAAATGCAAATATCCAGCCCTAAGTCTAGTAGTTTTAAGAGTAGATGACTTCCCCATGAAACTGTATCCACACAGCAGAATGAAAAGTTAAAAATCTCCCTCATTAGAATTAAAAGAAAATCCCCAAAATTGATGGAGGATGGAAAGCCAGAGAAACTTTAGATGGCATTTCCTTTTGTTTGTTTGTTTTTGCAAAACAAAAAACATCCATGTATAGTGAAAAGAAGGTGCTGTTTCGGCCTCCAATCTCAGTAGGCCATAACAGAGGTCACATGACCTGCAAGTCCACAGGCAGATGAGCTGTCACTGAATGGCCTCTCAGTGTCATATCTGCTCCCATACTTTAGGGGCCCCTTATGGATCTATGCCACATGTCCCATTGTTAACTGAGATGTAAAGTCTTACAGAACTTTGCAAACTTTAAAATATAATAAAAATATAAGGGATATATTATTATTTACTCAGAGTTTCTGAGAACCTGTTATGTGTCATGGCTCTATGCTGGGAACTTGAAAGTGAGTGTCTCTCTGACCCTGTCTTGAGGAGGTTGCTTACAGGGACAGCTTAGTAAACCATAAGCTTAGGAAGACAGTTACATGTATTGTGATTTTCTTGTCTCTGAGTATCTACTCAGGTTTTGCCAGCTACTCAGCTATTTATTTATTTGCTTTTTTCTAAACTTGGTAGTGGTTGCAGGGAAAAGCACATCATAGAGGGAATCAAGTTTCCTGGATTTTTATCTCCCATCTGCTGTGACTGAATATGCAATCTTGGACAAGTCATCCAGCCTTTCTGAGTCTGAATCTCCTTGTCTATAAAGCAGAGCAAGAACTTCAGCCTGCTCAGAACAGGGAGTTCAAAGTGAGACTATTATGAGGGGTTTGGAGAAGAGGCACCATAGAAAGCAGCCAGTACTGTCCAAGTAGATAGTTGTTGTTGCCCCCTCCATATAAATATTTCTCAGTGCTTGAAGTCAGATCTGTGGGGAGGACATTTATGGGAACTGGCACAACTACTCTCCAAACAGTTCTGCATGGTGAGGATAGCACATGGAGGGCTCTGTCCATGGTGTAAGAGAACTTTTATGTCCCCTAAGCCATTCCCTTTCCCATTAACTATATCTGGGTGAAAACTTGCGATTTAAAAGATCTATTTTTGGTATTTTACAGTTTACTTAACCCTGTACCAATCGGTCCTTCTGGCAACCCTGTGTTAACAGATAGAGGCTCAGAGACTAACTCTCCCATGGTCACCTAGCCAGCCAAGAGCAAATCCAGAACCAGAAACCTGGTCTTCTATCTCCTATGTTGTCCAAGACTAGCTGATTCTTAACCCATGCTCATAGAAGGAAGGTACAATGGACATAGCAGAGGTTGATGACTGATGCCATCATTTCCATTGAATAGATGTGTGAAGCCCAAAGAGGTTAATTGATTGACCCAGAGCCACATGACTAATATTGTAGTGAACCTCAGAAATTAACTGTTGAATGAGTGAATGAGAGTGCTAATGAAGAAGACACTGGAAGATATTCACCAGAACCCTGCAAGAGCTCCCAGGAAAAGTGGGATTCAGCTTGTATGCCCAGACACTGTGAGTAGGCAGGAGGACAGGCCACAGTACATACCCCAGGTGTTTTATATAGTTATGGACAAGTCTTAGCTTAAGCCTCAACTCAAGTAACTAAATTAAAAAGTACATGTTCGATTGTTAAGTGAGATATAGGCAAAATTCTAATGGGATCAAGAATCCATCCATTTGAAAGATCAGGTCAGAGAAGGCTTCCTGGAGCCAGGCCTTCTGAGGTGGACCATTGTGGAGAGCCGAGGGCCTCACAGGTGGGAATTTGGCTGGGGCCGTGGGGCTGTAAGCTCCACAGACAGACTTCAGGCTCTTTGTGGGGAAAGCGGTTAGGGAACTGTGAGCTTCAGTTCTGGAAAGTTTCATGCCCTCCCATTGCTGGTGTGGCTCATGGCCTGTCCTACCCTGGCGGGACCTTGTTGCAGGAGGACATCAATTTCGGGGAACTGGAAGACGAACACTGGCTCTGCAATGCTGGAGCAGATCGCCATGTCAGACAGGTGAGTGAGCCAAGGGGTCCAGTCCCCCGTGAGAGGGAGGCTACCATAGATGAAGAGGTGTAAGAAAGCAGGAGGGGAGCCTCTGGGCAGACAGGACTGATAAAACACAAAAGGCCCAAGCAGCCAGTCGACAAGATCAGGCAAGACTGGGTCTTGTGCTAAATTATAGAGATAAAGGCTTTGCATATCACAGAATCTTCAAGAAAGGAGTAGTAGTTAATATGGGCTGGAATAGCCAAGGAAGGCCTCCTAGAAGAGTGTAATCTGCCCTGGGCTTGAAAAGTTGGGTAGGATCAAGAGAGCAGAAAGGGAAAGTTCTGTAAATAAGGGACCACCTTTGATGGTTGTGGGATAGAAAAAGCGGGTGGTGGAGATGGGAGAGATAGAGGCTGTAAGAAGAGCCCAACCAGCAAGCAGGCTTGGGGTGAGCTAATGCTCCATCCTCAGGACACCTTCCTGCCCCCTCCAGGTACAAACTATGGGTGGACACCTGCTCTGAGATGTTTGGTGGCCTAGACATCTGTGCTGTCAAAGCTGTACATGGCAAAGATGGGAAAGACTACATTTTTGAGGTAAGTCTGTCCCAATCGTATCTGAGAAACAACACGCAAGGCTGCAGGCCAAACTCTTGGCTCAAAAACTATGTGGACAGCCCAGACTGCATTTATAGTGTAGAATCTTCTGAGTTGTTGGAAGGCCCTACACAGCACATCTGCATAGCAGGATACCTCCACCGGTGGGGAGCTATTACTTCTAACCTGCTAAACCTATGCACACCAGGGGTAGTAACTGGTACATATGGGTTCCTGGGGTCCTAGTGCAGTCATTTCTCTGGGAAGACTATAGTGACTTTAGTATTCTTAGTCTGAGAAAGCTTCCTCCTTTTGCAGTCATTTTACAGGCAGGAAAACAGGCCTAAGTGCTGCGAGCCTGTGCCTAAGGCCACAGGGTGAATCGGTATCTCCACCTGGGCACCTGGGGACAGGAGATTTTTCTGAGCATCCCTCTGGGCCCTGGAGACACTTTGCTTATCCTGATCCTCTAACACAACTTTTCTGACTCTCTTTTCCCATATTCAAAGAAAAGCTCATGACAGTATGAATTCTTCACATACATTGTCGCCCAGTCTTCCTGGGAGCAGGAAAGGCTCCTGGCCAGGAGTGATTCCAGAGAACTAGTGTCAGGAGCCTAGCTAGAGTGGGCTTCAGATTCAGAATCCACCCCATGGCCTGCTCAAACTCTGGGATGGCTACACCTCCCCTTCTAGAGTGGGAGCAATAAATGAGACAGTTGGACTATGGAATCTATGATCCCACTAAGGCAGACATTTCCAAAAAGAAGGACCCATTTCTTTGGACCCTGAGATTCAGGCAGAATCAGGATCAGTGGCAGGTAGGGAAGGCATCCCAAGTCAGAAGCACAGGGAGGAATCTGATCATTTAATGAAAAGAGCCTATTTGGAGATAGATTATACAGGTGAAAATTCCCAGGGATGAAAACTGCCCATTCTTCACCAGAGATTTATGGGAACGTCTTTCGTGTCTTCCTGTTCCTCTGTCTGCAAACTTCAAGCCCTGGGCCCTTCAAGCCGTCTCCTTTCTCTCTCCCTCTTCCAGTTACCTTCAGCTAGCAATCTCCCTCTCCCCCATCCCTGGCCTGGGTGAAGGTAAAGGGAAGTGGCTTGAGGCAAAGGTTTGCAGGAGGAGGGGACAAAGGTCCTATTTTCTGTCAAGGACCATGCTTCCAACTGAAGACAAGAACACCTGCTTCAACACCAGCCCGGGAAGACCAGGCCAGGCCTTGAAATTTCCAGACCCTTTCCTCACCCAGGCCACATCTTCCACCAGGTCATGGACTGCAGCATGCCGCTGATTGGCGAACACCAGGTGGAGGACAGACAGCTCATCACTGAACTAGTCATCAACAAGATGAACCAGCTGCTGTCGAGGACTCCTGTCCTGTCTCCTCAGAGGCCCTTAACCACCCAGCAGCCACAGGTAAGCAGCTGTGCAGAGACACAGGACAGCCAAGAGCCACTGTTCTGGACATTGGTGGTTCAAGAATGGAGCAGAGGTCAGATACCCACAGGCCTGGATAGGATCTAAGCAGTCTTCTCCCTCCTCCTGTCTTCCTCTGGAGGCCCGCTTATCTCCCACCATCCCTTATAGGGGCCTTCTCGTGAGCAGTGTGCAGTATCAGCTGTAGGACTGACAGGCATGGAGTACTAGATCTCTTCCCTCTGAACTTGAAGTCTCCAGGGAACCAGAGCTTGCTTTCTCTGGGACTCAGGATGCTCCCTTTTTCAAAATGGGAGGTCTCTGAGGAGGAGCTGAATCATATTGCTCACTAGCTGTTCACTGCTAAATTGGGTTTTTAAAAGAAAGTGGGGGTCTTTCTGAGAAATCTGGTGCAGAAAAAGAGAAGAGTCAGTTTCTTCCTTCTGGGAGAGCAACAAGGTGAAACTCAAAGATCTCCTTTCCCTAAGGGAGAGGAGGTGGTGGCCTTGAGTTAATAGTGCCTAACTCAGGTCCAGTCACATCATGGTGACAGTATCCTAGCTGCAGGTCTATAGGAAATCTACAGTGAAGTTTTTTGTGGAACATTAGGCTCTAGCATGTGCCAAGGAAAACAAGATCCCTAAACCTGGAGCTCTTTGGTTCCACAAAGAAGGTATCTTACATTTCAAAAATATTCACAGTCTTCTCTCCACTGAACTTTTGTATAATGAAGTGGGGGAAATTCATTGCACTTGGGGCAATGAATCAAATAATTGAACCTGATCTAGCTTTTTCCCTAAAGGACTGCTAATAATTATGTGTAATTATTAGCTTCGGAGTGCTTTATGGATTTTATAAATTAGAATTTATAAATTAGAATTCTCTCAAAAATCTTTAAAATCCAACATCAAATGGTTAGGGAGGTAGAGTATAATAGTGATTCAAAATATGGGCTTTGAAATGAGAATGAAACCCAGTTTGAATTCTGAATCCAGTATTTATTGGTGTTGTGACCTTGGACAAGGTCTTTATCTTTGGCTCAGGAATGATAATCACAGAACCAGTCTCATAGGGTTGTTAGGAGAATTAAATGATGTAAGGAACCTAAAACATGGCAAAGTAAAGTACCTGGTGAAGATCAGCTGTTGTCCTAGAAGAAAGTAGACTCTGGCCTTGGATCCCTGCAGCCTTAGGCCTGGAGATCATGGCCTCCGCTTCTGAAGATGGGGGCCTCACCAGATTAGGCTGCACTCAGAAGCAAATAGCTGGAATCTAGAAATCCTTCAGTAAGAACGAAGGAAAGGGCTGGCACCCTTGCACTGGAAGAGGGAAGGAAAAAAACAAAACTGCACAGCAGTGTGGGTTATTTAGGGTAGAGGAAATTACCCCCGACATTTGAATATCACAGAATCATAGCCTGCAAGTGTTGTTGATACTCATAATAATGAACCTGAGTCATTGGGAAGGGGAATGCTGACATTTTAGGGTTTCATATTCTGTTTAAGAAAACTAGAAACAAAATTTAGGAAATATTTCCAGAAAAGAATTGACTAAAATAAAACAGTGTGACAATTGGTAAGTCAGTTCCCTCTCTGAATCTGTTTTCCCACCTGTCATATGGGAAAAACATAAGAACTATCTTTTCTGCTCTAAAAATGTCTTTAGGGGCTGGGCATGCAGAAGACTTATCTATCATGCAACAAGACTCTGGGTTCCATTCCCAGCACACCAACAACAACAAAACAATAAAAATACTTCTATCCTTATGGATTCTGGATAGATGGAAACTCTGGGCTAACAGATAGCAACTCTCGAGTAGCCATGTTGAGAGTAATCTTGTACAGTGGGCTCCTACCACTCTTTACATACGATGAGGGATTTACACCTTCTTTAGCTGATGCTCACTGGATTGGACCTCTGACCAGATGGGAGAATCTGTTCCCGGGGCTGAGGCTATAACTCAGTGATACAGTGTGGCTTCACATCATGCACAAGGCCCTGAGTTTGATCCCCAACATCACTAAATATAGATAGGTCGGTGGGTAGTAGGTAGGTAGGTAGGGGAGTGGGTAGTTAGATATTGAAAAATATTTTCATGATTTAAAAAATATCAGGCCTGTAACTAGATTTTGTAACTCTGTAAATGTGATGAAATAAAGATACTTGGGTACTAGTCTTGTCTTTTAGTCCACAGTAGGCCTTAGTCAATAGTTGAAATATCCTGTTAATCAGATTATTGCTTGTTCCTGCCCTAGAGAAAAAGTGACACATACAGTTGGCCTTCCCTATCTGTACATTCCATATCTGCAAATTCAGCCAATTGCCTATCAGAAATGCAGTTAGGTCTATGGTGGTTGCCTCAAAAAGCATAAAAGTACAGTGGCAAAGAGACAATTCATGAAAAAAAAAGTTTTACCTCACAGAAAGCATTAGTTCTTCTTTGGTATAAGCCCCTTAAATTAGTCCATTTTGTGTTACTAAAATGAAATACCTGAAGCAGGCTAATTTATAAAGAAGAAAGGTTTATTTTAACTCACAGTTCTGGAGGCTCAAGGACAAGGGGCTGCATCTGATGGTAGCCTTGTTGCTAGCAGAGTCTTGAGACAACATTAAGCATCACATAGCAAGAAATAGGGAGCACATGTATTTCTGTGTCTCTTATTTTTCTTTTTTCGTAGTCACTGGGATTCAGTTCTGTGGGCTCCACTCTGATGACCTTGTCTAATCCTAGTAATAATAATAATAATAATAATAAAACCACCTTTAAACACCAGTCAGATTGTTTCTACCCTCTTAATATTTCTCAATGGGGATTAAATTTTAGCATATGAACCCTGAAGGAATATTCAAAGTACCTATCCACATTTTAGAATCCCTTATTTTATAAAGTTTAAATATTGCAACTTAAACATTTCTGAAGAGAAATATATCTCAAAGCACAAGCAGAAAAATAAAAAGAATAAGCTTCCCTAAATATATGGGCTCCTGCAAAAATCCCTAGTAGGGAAGTCAATCTGACTCAAGGATGAGCTTTTCTCTGTTTATTCTCCTATCACTGCTGGGTATTGTAGAAAGCTCCCTGTGCTGGGAATCAGGAAACTCCCAGGCTATTCCCTGTGTCCCTGGACAAGTTACTTTCCATTTCTGGACATTTCTTTACTCGCCTATGAAATGGAATTAAGTTAGATGATTTCTAGATCTCTTTCAATTCTTAAGTCATGTAATGGCTGGAGCTAGATAGACACACTGCAGACTGTGAAGGCAGAGTTCCCCAGGAGATTGCTCTCACTTCTAACATCAGCCGAAATTCAGAAGTTCCTCAAACTTCGACAGGTTCGACAGCTCCCTGGAAGAACTCACAAAGCTCACTGAACCCTGTTGTACTCACAGTCCCGGTGGATTGTGGGGAAAGGACACAGGTCAACACTAAGTCAAAGGAAGATGCCCAGGACAGAATCTGGGAAAGTTCAAAACTCAAAGCTTCCACTATCCTTAGGATGTGTTACCCTCACAGCGTCAGCGTGTGACCGTACCCATGACGTATTGCCAACCAGGGATGCTCACCTGCACTTCAGAGTTCAGAGTTATTATGGGGCTTCATTACTTCAGTATGATCAACTGACTGGTCATCCGGTTGAACTCAGTCTCCAGCTCCCTGTTCCCTGGAAAGCAGGCTAATGCCATGTGGCTTAGGGAATTTACCATGAATAACAAAGACACTCCTGCCACTCAGGAAATTCCAGTTTAGAGGTCACTTCCTGAGAGCCTGGCATAAAGGCTAAGACCTCTTTAAGGGCAAGGCCACACTATCAGGTTAATATCACGGATGTCTCAGATACTTGCAGCCCCTTGTGGGCAGAAACCTTGCCTATTCCTCTGTTTCCACTGACCAACACAGACCTGGCCCAGAGTGTGTGTGGAAGTTAGCTTATAGCCTCAGGACTCCAGTGAAGAAGGAGATATCGTTCCCATCCAAAAGTTGTTTAGATTCTAAGTTGAAATCATGACTGAATTCACGGGCCATCAAATGGTGTCTTCTTGAATCTTCTTTTAGCTTCCTTCTAAGCTTGTGCCCTGACCCCAGGCTGCCCAGAACACATAAAGCACCCAACATTTGGCAAAATGCTGCAACTTGGGCTTGAAGGCATGACTGTCCTGTCCTGTCACAGTTCCACTCCCTGTCTCTCCTGGATGATGGCACATTGTTTACGGTTGAGGAGACATTTCAGTCACCCTGGGTGCAGCCCCTTGGGTGTCTCAGACTAGATGGCCTTGTTCCTGCAGTCACTTCCTACTTTCCTGAATCTTTACCTATGGGAATCTGCTTCATGGCCCTGCCTTCCACCTGTCCTCTAGTCCATTTTGTGTTACTAAAATGAAATACCTGAGGCAGGCTACTTTATAAAGAAGAAAGGTTTATTTTAACTCACAGTTCTGGAGGTTCAAGGACAAGAGTCTGCGTCTGATAGTGGCCTTGTTGCTAGCAGAGTCTTGAGGCAACATTAAGCATCACATAGCAAGAGATGAGGAGCACATGTATTTCTGTGTCTCTTATTTTTCTTTTTTTGTAGTCACTGGGATTCAGTTCACCCACTTTGCTTTCAATGGTACCCTCTATTCCCCATCATCAAATGATCATCACATCCACATCCAAACAGCTTCCACTTAAAATCAAAAACATCCCCCAACTCCATATTCCCTTCCAGCTACTACCCCACTTCTCTGTTCCCAGCCCAATCTTGAGTTGTTTTAGCCACCATCTCTCCTCCTCCATCAACCCAATCCAGTCGACATTCTTTCCCCACCATCCCACTGCAACTGCCATGGGCAAAGTCATCTCCATGTTCCCTCTACATGTAGTGGTCACTTCTGTTCCTGCCCTGCAGACTCTGCAGCAGCATTTGACGTAGTTGGCTACTTCTTTGAAATGCGTCCTTTGCTAGGCCTCTGGGACCTAGCAAAGTTCACTCTTTGAACTCCATATTCACATGTCTAACTCC